GAGACACAAGAGGCAGGATCTTGGGTTATGTCCCAGACTTTAGTGTACAGTCTTAGGGCAAGAGGATGAGGTCATGGGAGAGGAAGATGAAAGGGTCATGGGAACATAAGAAGAAATAGTGGCAATTGGAAGGGAGCCAGAGCATCTTAGGTAGAATACAGAGAATGACCGTAGAAGTAGCCTGGTAAAACAATACTAAGAAATTGAGAGTAGTGTCAGTGGTGTTTTTACCAGACTCATTGTGAAGGGTGATCCAGCATTTACAGGGGATCTCAGCAGCAAATCAAAGACAGCAGGTATCTCTAATGATGCAGTTGTTCCCGTGTACCCAAACCTCCCCAGTGCAGAGCCTACTGGATCAAAGTCTCTTGGCATTGCAAAGAAATTCTGTAACCTTAAAAAATCACCAAAGTCCTGTCCTCATTTGTCAGTGCACTTCATGTCTGCTAACATTTGAACACCACTCATCTAATGCATAAGAAAACAAAGTATTTAGAATGATTTCTTGGAGACATATATGTTAGAAACAGGTGAAAAATTCTAAGTATGTTCAAGACACAAAATGAGGCAGCCATCACAACAAAGAGGTGGGAGATAGAATATGAAGTGACGCAAATGATGTCCTGAGAAAGAAGTTGTGGGAGCAGAAAGATGGAAGAACATTTGGCCTTGGGCACGTTAGCTTTCTGAGGACTAACCCACTGGGGAGCTTGTCAGTCCCCATAAGATCAGGAAGCAGGCATTTGTACCAGGAAAGTAGGCCAGGGAAGGGGGCCACAGTGAACCCACTGCATACTGTTTTCTGTGTGTGGCAGCAGTGAGTTCTGCTCTCTCTAACCATAGCTGTGGGATATAAGAACTCTCTCCCATTTTCATGCCACATCAATAACTTTAGATAACTGTTTTCTTTGCAAAAGTAAGATATAGTTGTTTTATTTCTAAAAAGACTGGTGGGTTAAGTTTTGCAGCATTTCTACCAGGAAATACAAAAAGAGAATGAATCCTGGACTTCCCAGACTACAGTGCACCTCCTAGCTCTCCAAAGCTGTGGCCATCATGGCTTTCTTGTGCTCTCATGTGGTTAGTTCAAACATACAAGAACATTGCTCATAAACGTATATAAATTGTGTGGAGAATATTATATATTTGCAAAATAGTATCATATTTTAAAGATTTAAATAATTTCTACTGAAGAACCAAAAAAGGAGAGAGAAAAACTGCTTTCTAGATAGTATTTTTTTCTCAATGATTTTAAGTTTTCAAAAATGAGAATGGAATTATGGGAATTTAAATAATTTAGCTAGTAACTTTAAGGAAAATATTTCACAAATACTAAAAACAGGCTTATAAAATTAATGATTTATTTTTGCATATATTTTCTGTGCATTGGCATTTTCTTTACATGTATGTTTGTGTGAGGGTATCAGATACCCTGGAACTGGAGGAACAGACAGTTGTGAGCTGACATGTGGGTACTGGGAATTGATCTCTGGACCTCTGGAGTTGCAGCCAATGCTCATAACTACTGAGCCAACTCTCTAGCCCCAAAACAGGCTTTAATGTATTTTTTTTTTAAGTTTGGCTATTGACTATAAAAGGATGTAAAAAGCTTGCACCAAACCTATGAATGTGCCCCTTATCTCTTTCTTCCACCTCTTTGTTTGCCTTATTGCTGTCCATCCTGGGATGCAAAGCCTGCTTTGTGCTCCAAGATCCTTTCCTCCTCTCACCAGGTTCCCCAAGCAGTTCCTACATACCAATTATCAAAGTCAAAGATTCCTAATTAAAAATCAGTTTTGAGGGATTTTAAAGCTGATTTAAGAACAAATATGGAAATAAAATAGTATAGTGGAGCTTTAGGTTCAATTGTTTTTCACCTAATGGCCTATTTGACCATCGGAGCTGATTGTATTTCTCTCTGTATTTGAATTCATAGTGTTTGTTCCTGTCTTGTGCTTGCCGATGTCACAGAGAAAGATATAGGTAGTGTAATGAGCCTTCCTTCCTACCAATCATTGTTTTAGTCTCTGCAAGTGAGTGTCTCTAAGCTTAACTATTTCATAGATTTGCTTAAACCTATGACCCTCTTTTCTAGCAAGGATAAGAAAGCTGCCAGAGGAGCTCACAGCCTAGGGAGCTACAAGATTTATATTGTGTATGAGTCGATTTGGGGACTTGAGGGTCTACTATTTGGCCTGGTGCTCTTTAGTGATTTATGTTGTCAGTCATTTTGTAGTAATTCTTAACATTTGCAATCATATAAAATCTTTATTTTGATGAAGGGCTGGTTTTACATCATTAATTTTCAATATATATAATTATATATAAATTAACATAATTTATATATATAAATTTAAATTTATATAAAATCTCAGGACATTGAAAACCTCCCTTATGTCTTTTCTTATTCATTAAGTAAGAACAATGAATTGGGTTTGTGTTGCCTTAAGATCGTGGATGCTTTCTGTGCTTTGTGTAACAGCAGTCCTTGTTTCTGCAGCACCGGCTACCAGTTTATTTACTATTCACCTGAAAACACAGCGAAAGCAAAGGAAGTCCTCAGCAACATCAATCAGTTGCAGCCTCTCATAGCAACCCATGCAGACCTGCTGCTCAGCTCTGCCAGCCAGCATTCTCCAGACAGCTTGAAGAGTTCTTTAAAGCTACTCTCAGAAAAAGTAAGATCCAAATCTTTACTCCAGTGGGGAAAGTGAAATCCCCCAATCCCTTAAGTGCTGCCTCCTATGTCCATCACCTTTCATGCATCTAGAAATGTAAAAGAGACTAGGTTAAAAAAACAAGCTTCAGAATATTGCCACAGGATCAAAACGAATTGGCTTCCTTCTCTTTGTGGGCCTCAAATGCTTTCTTTCTTTCTCTGGTATGAAATGAGACCTGTTCCTCTTTTCCTTGTTAGTTTTATCCCTTCTTTTTGTTTATGGTCTGAGTAAGTGAATTGAATTAGATTTGGAAAATTATTTTCCTCTCATAATCACATACTTTTCTGCACTGGTAACTGTGCATTTGAATGGGGGTATCACTTGATTTGAGTCATATCCTTGCTGGGGATTCCATCAGTGGCATGGGACAATCCATCTCTCTTTCTTCTATTGAATTATCAAATAGGGAAAGATTATTAACACTACAAAAAATATTAATTGTTGTTTAAAATGTGATAGGACCCAAGCTGTGTTTTTTTTTTTTCATGATTCACTTTCTTGGTGCCTACAGTAAAGAAAAGTGGTCAGGCCTGGGGCATGTGCTTAGTATCAGATTCTATAGATAATTAGAACTACTGGGTTGCATAGAACCCAGGTGAAAACAGATCAATTAGAGCAAGATTTTAAATGTCAAATTAAGCATCCTAGAGTTTAATACTGCTGAGTTCACCTGTCACCTATATGTCCACACATTTTGTACTCTGTTATAAGACATTTCTAATAAATGAGTGAAGAACCTGACCAAAGAAAACACTTCTAATAATCCTAGAATAAATTAACACTGTGGTTCTTTACCTTTATAAAGACAACATTTGTAGAACCTGGACATCTTACATGGATGTAGCTTCTATTCGTCTGTATCCATTGCTAATAAGAATGCTGTACTTAAGTTTTTATCTTAAATTGTACATTTCTATATACATTTTACTTATAGAAAACTAAAATCCATGTTAATTGAAAAATAGTCATTTTGTGTTCAGAAGTGTCAAATAGCTTTCCTAATAAATTTAAAATAAAAAGACCTCAACACATGATCTCTGTTTTAAACCTAGTGGCTTCCCATGCTACAATAAAGGAGAGAAAAGTTTGTGAGATCTTACCAGTGTCTCAAGGGAGAAAGGACTCCAGGCCTTATGCTATTTTATTTAATCTCCACAACTTGGGGGGATTTATTTCCTTACTTTCATAAAGGAAAGGGCTAAAACTCTGATAGAGTGAAAAAGCCACCAAGTTGGAAAGTGTGAGTAATTCCTGGGAATCAAATAAAGCCTACGAGATCTATCTACCTCCGGCAGGTCACTATGTAAAATGAGTGTTTTACACATTTTTTTAAATTGATGTTTTTAAATTATTTTTAACTTGGGAAAATTCCTTTAAGAATGAGTGGGTCAGGAGAAAACCTCAAAGAGGATTATGTATAGTAAAATAATGTAATCTCATTTTTACTCCTGGGGGGGGGGGTGGGGGGAGGATGTGAAGTTTTTCTCACTTCACCTAAGCAGAACATTTTACCAACTAGTTCATCCAAAGACTGTCATTTATATTCTTCCTGAGCACTGGGCAGGGGTGTGTCATTTCATATATCCAGAACAGCTCACGGCAGGCATGGGGAGAGTATTACCTCCTCCTTAAATCCAGCATTGCTGCAAATTTTTCTCTTTTTTTTTTCTGTTGAGTAAACAGGTTTTTTCTGCTGATAATTCACTCCACCCTAGAAACTGACAGGATATCTTAATAGTTAAGTTTGTAAGCAACACATCCCCTGGAGAATCAATGCCTGCAATTTCAAAGAGTTATGAAAGTTAACAGTTCCTCATGGTCTTTGAAAGAAGGATTCAAGATTAGTCCATGAGTTGAGCATGAATAATTTTTTTCGTTTCTTGTCATCTTTAGAGAGCTTTCAGTTCCATACTGCAAAACTGGAGTCTGTTGTTTATTGAGCATCATCCTGGCTGTTTTCTAACCATGCTTCCAAGGCCATGTTCTCACTTATTACTTACACACCCAACCTCCTGCCCAGGTGAAGGCTTATTCAAATGCTTAGTCCTGTAGAGATGCAAACTAGGAGGCATTCTACACTGAGGCTATGCTATACAATAGCAGACTTTCTCGAATTAGCAATACAATTGTAGGCTGGAGCTCCTGGGTGCTCCTGTTTACTGAAACTGGAAGCTGGACCTTAAGACATTCCATAATGAAATTTTCTTGGTACCCAACATCACCCCTTTCTTAAATTAATAAAAAGAAACCTGTGCTTCTGCATCAGGATAGATGACTGTGCCTGTCTTAGGAGTCTCCCTTCAACCTACCAGGGGTGCCCGTCATGGAATCACGCTTTCCATCATACGTGTTCTGTCTTAGGATTCCCTCAAGGCAAGGAAAACCGTACCCATCTCTGGCTGGAAACAGTCTCTGTAAAACAAATAAGGTTAATGGGGAGTGGGCCATGGTCCAACTCCAAATGTTCCTAAATCAGGAAAAATCCTCAGGGAGGTAGCACCTTAGCTCTCACAGCTGCAAATGTTCTCCTGCAGGATGGAGACATATAAAGGTTAAAATGGACTTTTAAAATCAGCGTGGGAATGTCTCTAGTACAACTGGTACACATACTACTTAAGTTTGCTCTCTTAAATCTACTTTTATGCTAAGGCTTGTAAATTACATGTTACATTCCTGTTAGAATGAACTCTGACTTCTAGTTTCTAATAACATTTGCATAACACATATAGCAAGGTTACAGACATTCACAATTTCATGAACATATGTTAGGGTGAGTTATAATACAATCAAAAAACAATAAGATATTCTCATGATCTGTGGGATGTGAACAATTCTACAATTTTCAACTCTTTTCCTTTATTCTCTGCCTGGAGTTCAATGCTCTTTGAAACTTTCTATGTCTTGTTTAAAGTTTGAAGTTCTGAAATCTGTAAAGTTCTGAAATCAGGTTTGTAATATACATGGTCTTTGAATGTTAACTGAAAAGTCTTTTTTCCATGTCTCATTTAAGCAGTGTGAAGGGGCTTCTGTCACACACTCTGGTTTATGCCAGTATCCAACTGTCCTAAATTGGTCCTTTTTCCCAATGGGAAAACTGGCAAAAAACAGTTTTGTGTGTCTAGATGTGGCAAGAAGTCAAGCTGTTTGTTGTCCAGTTCTTAGTCTGCTCCTGGATGAGCATTCACAGATTCAGAGAGGTGGATGTATTCTGTCTGTAAGGAAGCTAGGGCTCTGGAAAACATCTCAAAACTGGAAATGCTTGTCTCCTATCCTCCTCCAGCCGTAGGTCGGATGTCCTCAAGGTTCAGGAACACAGGTACAGTGTTTCACTCCAGCTGGTTCAGAGGGTCTCCTGTGAGCCTCAGGTCCAATTCCTCTCTGCTCCATGCATCTCACCAACTGCTCCCACAGCCAGCATGCCTCGTTCTCCACCCTCGAAAAAACACAGACATGCCCTCAACCCCAGATAATTATGGGGTCTGGTCCCCTCTATTGTCTCTCCATTTGACCTGAGCAAAATTTGCTTGAGTTCCATCATGCTAGTATCTGTCTGCAGCAGATTGCTCACTGGCATCCACATTTAAAAAGTTTTAGATAAATAGTGCTTGGTTTAGTGCATACTGTGTAGACTAGGGGCACACTCCCCCTTTTTATCTTAGAAACTGTGTTTTTAAGGAGCTTTGAGCATGTTTTAAAATTCCTTGTCCTGGAGGATCACAAGGAATATCTATCTATCTTTTGATCGTTTTACCAATGAGTACAAAATGACTGACATGCCTCATCATAATATATGCCACTATTGTCTATCTGTATAATTTTTGGGACTCCCATGTAAGCAAAAACATCTTAAAACAGTGACTTATAACATCAAGAAATCTGAATATGAGGTGATTGCCCCGTGTATGCATTTTTAACTTGCCAAACTCTGTAATGAGTAACATCCATTTGCCATAGATTATTAGGGAGTAGATCTCGAGGATTCACCCTTAAATTAGCCATAGGTAGATATCGTGGACAGATTCCAAATTGTTCGATGATTTGACGAGCAGTTTCTCTGGGTTAAGTCAAATTGTTTTCTTAGACTTTTGCTATTTAGATGAAGAAAGTTACAAGACTGTGGAGCTTTCTCTATTTAAGGCAAATCCGCAAATTTTGTTAATTAATCTGTTGACTCATTTCATTTGACTAGTAATCAGGGAAAGGCCTTATTTAATAGGTTCCCAGTGTGACCCATAAACCATGGCAATTTTCTTAGGTGCTAATATTTTGAATTTGCTCAAATAATATTCTAACCTGACTATTATTGGATCTTATACATGGAACTCTCTCTATTACCTTAAGAACCTTAAAGACATAGTGACTATCAGTATACAAATTAAATGAATTATTTTCTAGGATCTGAAAGACCATTGCAATAGCTCAAAATTTGACTATTTGAGCTGAGGCCAGAGCTGTCTGCTCCACCTGTTCCTTTCCTTCAATAATATATGCAAGCGACTCTCTCATTAGAGCCATCAGGAAAAACTAACAGCATTTTTATGGAACTGTTTACAATTTTGGGGAATATAAGGATGTATCAGAGTAAATTGTAACAGACTATAAGCTGCAAAATGATTATCAATTTTTCCTGAAAACTGAGCATAAGCAATCTCTTTAAAATCTAACATTTTATGCTGGCATACCTTATGTTTCAGAATTTCTTGCAATTATGTGGATAAGAGAATAAAAGTTAATTCAGTGATAGTACCCACTTTTTTGTTTGTTTGTTTGGACAGGATTTTTCTGTATAGCCCTGGCTGTCCTGGAACATACTCTGTAGACCAGCCTGTTCTTGAACTCAGAAAACCTCCTGCCTCTCCTGAGTGCTAGGATTAAAGGCATGTACCACAGCACTCTGATATACTATTCATTTTAAAATAAATTTACAAAAGTAATTTAAGGCATAAACATGGTCTTAG